TTCGATAACGTAATGTCATTCTTATTCACGACGTATAATTTATCATATCAATTATTGATTTATACTTGTTTATAATTGTTATGTTGTATATTATAATGTATATAATAGTTTGTTGGATATATACAATAGCCCGTCTACACACGAGTCTCCCCCACGTGGATAAAGTACAACTCTGTTATTCCAAGCGGATTCGCATTTGCTGGTAACATYAATGGCCTCAACACCATCACMGAAATGAATGGAATTAACATGAATGGGATAAATGGGATTGGAAATGTRAATGGAATAAGCGCAATCAATGGAATCAATGGAATGACAGCACAGATGAATGGAGTGAATGGGATGAATGGAATGGGAAATGGAATGGGAAATGGAGTGGGATTTGTGAATGGGAATTCGGCTCTTAGTGGAATAAACGGCCTTGCTGGAATCAGCACAATCAATGGAATCAACGCTCTTGCAAACTTGAGCTGTCAGACCGTGAATAGCATTAACGGCATCAATGCAATCAACGGTCTTCAAGTRAACGGACACGGAAACAGCACAGGGTTCCCACAACAACATGTGGACCAAGATAGATCTGTGAATAACCAAAGYAATGGCAATGGAGTTCATTCTGAGAACATCCACTGGTCGTCGCAGTACCCAGTAGTATGCATACCAGAGTCCAGTCAGTCTGGACCRACCAACCAAACGGTCACAGTCAACAAGGAGGGGTTTCCTCCACAAATCACTTTCCAATTCGCGGGAGCACCGCGATCTGAGTTACATAACAGTAACGGAAGTACCACTACCACGTCAGTCTATGCACCTATCTCAAATGCTGGACCGCGGTTTTCAACAATACCWGTAGGTACACCAATAGCTAATGGGATCCAGGCTATGCAGTTTTCTCGTCCTATGACGACCGAGTTTACGTCCCCAATCATGAAAATTGTRGGACCTGGGACTTTTCTTCCATTAAGGCCGTCCATGTCAGCGCTTGATACACTAACGCAAGGTTAAGTCAGACATGTGGGACAGGCTACGAGTGTACGATAAATATACCCTCGCGCACGCGCAATAACAAACTTACTTTTCGCTTTGAAAAGCGCTGCGCAAATAACATCTAAAGCGAAACTGTCTGCAAAAAACAGCGAAACAGTGAATCATACTTGAACAATGATAACCTTGAATGGYGAATTTTGATTTCTGAGAAGAGTTGACCTACTTCTATATTTGACCAAAACCAATGTACAAAAGATGAGATGATAATAGCAAAAACCACAAAGAACACTACGTCTTATTCATAATTGTGTTTTCCGATAAAATGGTGAATCATTGCATCGGATGAAATTTTATTTTTATTCAGTTCACTTTTTTATTCAAACTAGAACGGCAAAGTAATTTTTCGTTATTTTAGTAATTTATTTTAGATTAGTTMTGGTCTTTGTGGTCTTTGCTTTGTCTTGCAAAGCCAACCTTAGTTAAAAACCAACTAGATCTCTCTGGATATTCTATAAAAGAGCTTTAGATCTGATTGCTACAGCACGATAAATGCAGTTAYGAGTTTTGCTTAATAAAACAAGCAAATTAAATAATAAAAATAACATGATATGATTTCTATATGATTTTTGCAATCAGATCTAAAGCTTCAGCTATCAAGAATTATACTGCTTGCAATTTTCTATAAATATGTAAACTATAGCTAAAATATATGAGCTTCTTTATTCAATATAGCATATTATTGAGTGAGTTTAGAAATTTAGAAATGATTTTAGTGAAATCCTCAGACCTGGTTAACATTTAATCGGAAATTAACTTGTATTATTTAAAATCAATCGCAATTAATAGCGATATATTYATTGTAATTATATTTATGTATATTTTATTTATCCTTATTGACATTAGTAGAGAACGTACTAGCAAATTTTGAATTCCAAAATCCACAGTCCATTCCATGAATTAACTTGATCARTTTGACAAGGAATGCCGGACAAATGAAGAATTATATATCATTAAGAAACAATGCTGTTGGAGGCAATGAAAAAAGAGCTAGCTAGAATKTTTGGGAGCACTTCCCCCAAGTTATAGTCAAATCCATATTTGGCACTGAAAAAGCTCAAAAATGTATTCAAACAAATGCGTCATTTGACGTTGTTTTATTGCTTTTAGATAAAAACATTGTGCTGTAGCCATCCTAGTCAATTACTAAAAACAATTCGTTTAAAATAGAGTAGAATAGAACGATATATTTCGGCCAAAATTCATACGCCGCCATATTGGACGRTGAGGTGTGACGTCATAGAGACGCCATGTTGTTACGTCATCCAATGTGGCGGACATTAAAACTGTTAGAGTTCTACAATTGACAAGGAAGGAGCTATSAGCGCAAATAGTACTAGTGACAAATAGATAGCTATTGTATCTATATATTACACTACAAAAGAGATTCTATTTTTCCATATAACTACATCAAAACCAACGATTATTTATTTACGTTTACTGGTCTTTGTTGATTAGGTGTCTGTCTGTTTGTCGAGTCATATGTTCTTTGTTTCTATTGTACAATGTAGTATTTTCATTTTCTAATAACCTGTATTACCAATACGGTCATCATTCTGAAAGTCCAAAGTGCTTCAATCCAAGGGTCAAAACAATTACAAAGTCTTTACTTTCCTAAATACATAAATTAATACAGTTTCATATAATATTAATCTCAAAAATTGAATTAAGCTTTAATCCAAGGGTCAAAACAATCACAAAGTCTTTACTTTCCTAAATACATAAATTAATACAGTTTCATATAATATTAATCTCAAAAATTGAATTAAGCTTTAATCCAAGGGTCAAAACTATTAAAAAGTCTTTACTTTCTTGAATATATAAATTAACACAGTTTTTCAACAGTTTCTCTTCATATTAATCTCTAAAATTGAATTAAGCTAATATGGCGACAGTATTGGTAATATGGTTAATTTCTTTGCTTGCGGATTTACTTCTGAAGGGCCTTGTTTTAGAAAATAGAGGCGATTCAGATCAAAATATACAATTACCACACGTCGCTTCAAACAAACGAAACATAAGTTTATCAACATGTCAAAAGAGTTGCCAAATATTGACTAAGAAATCCTCCTTTTCTAAAAATACACATTTGGCAGTAATAGCGAGCATGCGCATTTTAAAATGAAAGTCAAGCCTCAGAATGATGTATGTTTACCATGGCAAATCTTTTGATCTGATTTTAGAATGAAAGACTTTCCTGTTCAGCTTAAGCATTTTGTTGTCTGTAAAAATGTTTTCCAGTGAACTTCTAATAAATAAGAATAAAATCAATTAATCGTCTCTTAGTCTTACTGTTAGAGGCCAGGGCAGTAGAATTTCCCGAGTATCAATCTCGTTCCCATAGCCTGCGATCTCTTTCGGTCAGCGACGTTCTTTGTCGCAGACCAAAAGTAACGCGGGCTCTGGGTACGAGATTGCCCGAGTATGGTAAGAAAAATCGGTGAAAATTACAAGTAAAATCAAATGTTATGCACTCGCTAATGTCTGGCAAGGACACTAATGGGTTTTCCCTTCGTGCGCAATCGTCGTTGTGTACGAAACTCGAATGATTAGCTCGAAGCTTTCGAACTGATTACCCTCATCAATTAGAAACTGAATTATATATAATGAACAAAAAACAATCGTGCGGTTTTTACACCAGAAACAATAATATGTCTATTCTCCATGCAAGACACACGTGATAATAGTTGAAGAAACAGACAAATTGAATACTATCAATCTACATAAACTATCAACTGAGTTTTGTACTCGTCGGAGTTTAAAATTGTATCGGCCACACACCTTTATCAACAAGGAAGATTACGTTTTACGACTATATAAATAAGGAAATATAAAATATATATTGACAATAATGAATATAATGCTCGTGAATCTTCATTATTAAGAACTAACAATTCATATTTCTATGAGACAGTAGAAAGAAATATCAAAAAAATATGATCGTAACAGCAGAAGCAATGACAGATTGCTGTTTCGAAATTACTGAACAGGAAACAAATAAAGTACACTCATTGTTATAACTATTAATCACCAAAAATCGTGTTGAAAATAATAGCCTTCAATTCCGAACATCAAAGATATTCTACAAACTCTATTCTTTATTGCTAGCCGGACTTCCCTTAGTAGTATGACTAGTCATTGGCATGATTGACATGTAGACATCTGAATGACAGGTATCCATAAATGGCATATTATGTACAGTAATTATCCGAAACACCGTCGTGTCAGTTCAGAGCTAGAAGCATTAGCCCGAGGTGGTACAAATTCAGTGTGGCTCCCTCTTGAAATCTAGTAAAAATCTTAGTTTTTCTCTCTAAGAACATTTAGCTATTGAATACTATTGAAGAAAGACTTCTTAAAACTATAGACATGCGGAAGTTTACTTACAAGATGTAACCTGTTAGATACGAATGTGAGAATGACGCAGAAAAGTTGAATTTCCGGGTTAAATTTGCAAGGTAAGTGTGGTATGTTTGATAGTATGTTGTATTAAAAATCGGTAAAGTTATTGATCTCGACATATACTTGAATCTTGACATTATTCAAATTTGTTTCGCATATTATTTGTAGATAGATTCTGTTGTAGACAGTAAGACATTTAAGATGGCAGCGTAAAAAATGACAATTATCAATCATAAAGTCTTAAAAAAATGCCAAGCAATTTGCATTAGCGTTTTTCCTTAGTTGTTTGTTTTCTATACTCTATCATTAGTTTTGTATATTTTTTATTATTTACTAATTCGCAAAATCTAATCATTTTTTAGTAACATTTTTATTCATGTTTTTATGAAGACGCTGCTAAAACAAGAGCTATTATAATGGCTACCAGATCACAGCACAATTGGATATCAACTATAGGGATATTTGTGCTCGTCATGATCATCTCTTGTACTGCTAGTGGTGTAGAAGACCTAAAGAACCACGGTATTTGAATGGGCGAATTGTTTACAAATTGATATGTCGTCGTCAGTGTATTAGTAGAATTATTAACATAAACACCCGCTATTCGGGTGCAGTGACGAAATTATTGTTTCATGATTCTTGAATCAATTCATTAATGCAGAAGAAATATGAAATACTAAACCGTATACCTTTGTACCCTATTCCACTGTCGTACTTCCTGCGTTAAAACACCACCACTCAAAAATCGGGAAAAAAGGACATTAAGATATATGTACTAATATAGTCCAGTTTAAAAGTGCTCAATTTTTTTGTTTTTGTTTTTTTAATGTCAAGTCATCGTTATATAAAACAGCTTTGGATAAGTACATGATAAAAATCCAGTATTAACAAAATGCTGAATCTCCAAAAAACTTTTTTGTAGTGTACTTTTCGCATCAGTTTAACTGCTCAAGATATACGTTTTTTTACTTGCAACTAATGAAGTGGCAGCAAAGTAAGGAAGCTTGTGAAAATGACAATGGTACTCTAGTGTGCATAGAGACCAAGGAAGAGTGGAGGTTCATAACCAGTAAGATAACTTCAACGCAAATTGAATGGTATGTTGGTCTGAGAAATGTTGACAATCACTGGAAATGGGTGAATGGTCAACCATTGAAGTGGACGACGACAGGAGCATGGCCTTGGCATAGCGGTCAACCAAGTGACGGAAGAAAATATGTAAAAATGTATAACAAAAACGGAGAAAAACTTTTTGATGATGTTAGTGGTTTAAGACCACTAGGTTACATATGTGAATACAAAAATGGTAAGTAAAGATACTATTGAGATAAAAAACACTTATCAAATGTAAATAGAAAAAGTAATTATATATCATAAGTAAACAATAAGTATAATTTATTTATAGAAGATTCTCAGAAATGTAAAATGAAAGCATCAACAACAAAGTCTGCGACTAAAACAACGATAGGTATGTCATATTCTTTATCTTTAATCAGTTAGAATTGTCATGACATCATCTATGAATTTGAGTTTGCAAACTGCTGTGGCTCATCATTTTCACTTAGGAACTCAAAGGACAACAAACAAGCGGACATCAATAACTCACCGCGCATCAACAGTGAAGACAACATCGACAACCCAAGCAACGCAAACAACGCCAAGAGCTTCTATAACAACTAAGACAACATCGACTATCCCAAAACCTATGAGAGCAACAACAAGGACATCAACTTTCAAACCATCTAAAACGGTAACTAGTCAGACTAGTCAGACTGCTCAGGGCAATTCAGGCGGTGCTTCTACACAACGAAATACTAAACAAATATACGCACCATCATCGACGAAAACATCGCCTAATGGAAAACCGTCAACAACCAGTCGAAAACCGACAGCGAAGATATCAGGTGTGGAAAAATTCTTACTATTGTGCTAAAGAAAACAATAATGAAATCTTGGCTTTTGCTTTAATTGATATTGCTCTAATTTGGTCATATTAATAATATTCAGAATGCTTATTTTTCATGTTGTAATGTTATTAAAAATCCATGGAATATAGCTACACACAAGAAGCAGGCACAATCACGCATCAATAGTCACATACAAAGGAATCAAGACGAGGCGCCGTGCTAAAGACAATATAGTTTTCACAAAAAAGCACGGCGCCTCGTCTTGATTTCTTTGTATGTGACTATTGATGCGTAATTCGCAAGTCGGCTATTAATACTTCAGTGATTGATTATCATACAAACTGTTTTCATGAGTAAAATCTTAACAATTTTTCCTCTTTACCATTCATATACTAGATACGCAGATCCAAAAAGGTGAATTTCCAATTACATACCTCGCCATTGCGCTTGCTGTGCTCCTACTGTTCTTAATCTGTATGTTGGTAGCGATATACTGCTGGAGAAAAAGGACGAAAGGTAAAATATTATATCTAGCTAGAACGGTCCAATATATGAGGCCCCCCTATAATATTCATATAAAAATACTGAATGTTTAAAGTAAAGGTTCACTAGATTCTTTATTTTGATGCATTTAATGTTCGGACACCTAATATTGTTTTTTCTAAATGTTGGATATGATCGGTTGGAAAAGCGCAAAAATCAGCACTGTTATTTCACTATATTTAATTAGCGCTATTTATAAGCTCGTAACGTTGCACACATTAGTCCGAATATGGTGGGTCCTTTTGTCGTTCGTTCCTCTAACAGTTTCCTTGTTCTTTGTTTCGTTTGTTTTAATCCCTAATTATCTGATGTTATATTTATTTATTCAGATAAAGGTGGTTCTGGGGAAGATGGGTAAGTTGGGACGTTTTCTCATCTAGACAAACTGACTAGTCCATCCTGTTAGTTCTGAAATGGTACGCATAGTTCTTAAAACAGACCGTCTCCTCGCAGCCGTTCTTAGTGCCGGCTCCCTGTCCCCCGCAGCACTGACCACCGGACAAACCATAAACACAGAGTGACCAATTCAACAACAAACTTCCTTTCAACTTTACAAAAACGCGTTATCATTTTTACTTAAATGTTTTAACAGAATTCAATCTCCAACGACAGACGTTAGTGAAATCATGAAAAGCAACTCCTTCGTGGCGTTTAAGATGGTCCACAACAATATAGGTGATGGAAAACAACCAGGTGCTAAACTTACTAACGACTCTACACTAACAGACGGTACATATGCGGAAATCAAGCGAAGCACATCTGTTAGCACACCGCCTGGACAAGCTGTAAATATGAACGAAAACTCGACAAGTTCTCCTTCACAAGATGTAGAAGTTGTCTACGCAGCGGTTGATAAATCAGCGAAGAAGAAGGTAAGGCTGTACATACTTCTATACGTCCGTTTGCAGGGAGCCCCTTGGGGTTCCGGGCCAACTTCCCTGACAAACAAAGTGTTTATTTATTGACAAACAAAGTGTTTATTTATTGACAAACAAAGTGTTTATCTATTGACAAACAAAGTGTTTATTTATTGACAAACAAAGTGTTTATTTATTGACAAACAAAGTGTTTATCTATTGACAAACAAAGTGTTTATTTATTGACAAACAAAGTGTTTATTTATTGACAAACAAAGTGTTTATTTATTGACAAACAAAGTGTTTATTTATTGACAAACAAAGTGTTTATTTATTGACAAACAAAGTGTTTATTTATTGACAAACAAAGTGTTTATTTATTGACAAACAAAGTGTTTATTTATTGACAAACAAAGTGTTTATTTATTGACAAACAAAGTGTTTATTTATTGACAAACAAAGTGTTTATTTATTGACAAACAAAGTGTTTATTTATTGACAAACAAAGTGTTTATTTATTGACAAACAAAGTGTTTATTTATTGACAAACAAAGTGTTTATTTATTGACAAACAAAGTGTTTATTTATTGACAAACAAAGTGTTTATTTATTGACAAACAAAGTGTTTATTTATTGACAAACAAAGTGTTTATTTATTGACAAACAAAGTGTTTATTTATTGACAAACAAAGTG